CCAAATCTGCCCTGGGGGGTCCCCTGGGGGTCCTTCTGGGGTGGTGAAGCCCGAGGAGCCAGGAGGGTGTGGGGCTAGAGGCCCAGGGCTGGTGCTCCTCTGCTAGCCTGTCCAGGGCCCTGTGGCACCTGCCCAGAGCGGGCCCACCTACCGGGTCCCCAATGACATGGTTGTCCACCTGCCGGGTGCGGTTGAGGCCAATGATGCCAAAGACCACGAAGACCATGGCCCCTGTGTCCACTAGAGGCCGCACTGCCGGCTTCCCGCAGCCCGTGTTCACGCAGGGGTTGAAGCCAAAGGTGGCCGAGAGGCGGGCCTTGGGCACTGTGGACAGGTGGGTGCTGTAAGGGAGGGTGGGAGGGTGGGCCAGAGCTCCCAAGCCCCCCTGAGTCTCCACAAGTACCTCTCTCACTAGGCACGTAGAAGAAGCCCTTGGTGGGCCCATCAGGGCTGGCGCTGAGCAGGCAGCCGGGAGGTGCACCACACACGCGCCCGTGGAAGGGGGGCTTGTGGGACTGGGCAAAGTACAGCTTCCTGTGGAGGCAAGGGAGGCCAGGGCTGAGGCTGGGAAGGCCAGGAGGACCTGGGGAGGCAAGGCACGCAGGCCATGACGAGGAGCCAGGAGGCTGCAGGGGACAGGCCTGGGCTCAGGTAGACAGAGCCGTGCCCAGGGCCGGGAGAGAGGCCTGTTCTAGCCCTGGCCCTGGTCAAGGCTGAGCTCCCCATGGTGGTGTGAGCAGAGTGGCAGCAGCTTCAGACTGTCCAACAGGGAGCTAAGGGCTCAGGAGGGGCGGGGGCCAGCTGAGTGCCCTGCTTAGCAGCCCCAGGTCACCTCCACCTGCAGAGCTGGGAGCCTCAGGTCCCAGGTGAAGTGTGGTTCCATGGCCAAGAGCTTGCGGGCCACAGACCCGAGGTGGTCCAGCTCTTTCTAGGATGTTATGCTCATCCGAGAAGCTGACCCCGGTCATGGCTGAGCGTGCAGGGCAAGTCCAGGGAGGACAGGCAGAGGGTCCCCAGCCCCGAGTTAGCAGGTGCCCAGCTAGAAAGGGCCGTGCTGGTCACCCTTTCCCCAGGTAGAGTCTGGCCTGGTGTGGTGCCCACACCTGGACCACAGCCATGGGTCATGGTCACAGTGCAGGGCCAGGCGGCCATCGTCCTCCACTGTGAGTGGGGCTGTTTCTTTCTGAGCATGAGTCACACTTTGTTATGACACTGCTGTCCCTGCCTGGCTCCCACTAGGGTCCCCAAGGGTGGGAGCCACACTGGCCTGTCTCCCAGCCCCCACCCTATCTGGCTCTTGGTGGATGACAGCCCCTCGGTCAACAGCTTCACGGAAGAAATGCAGAATAAATGAACGTGAGGCCGCGTTCAGAACACAGGAGTGACGCCCCCGTTACCCGGGGGGACACGGCCACTGGCAGCCTTCGCAGACA